ATACCACGACGGGATATTTCGAAAATTTGTCTGCTGTGAAATTCCACGAGTGAAATCTTTTGTGGGGCTAAGGAAAATCATCCCCTTTCTTCGAAAGGGATGCTTCTTCATCAGTTTTGCTTCTTAGTCTCGGTAAGCTGAGAGCGTCACCCTATCCTTCGATGGACTGAATGAATTAAAGAGAATTGTATTGTAGTTTATAAGCGCTATTGTAAATGGAGTCAGAATGCCGGATGGTATATCGCATGATCATGCTTAATTATAGTGCAGCCATGGAACTGGACTCTGCGTTACGTTTAAGTGACACGCGAATATAGCTAACGGGTAAGGTTATAATAGAAATTGTGTTGGTAAACGAGATAGGTATTTCGAGTGAAATGGCAATCGTAAATGATTCGAATTGAAACGACTTGTAACGAGAAACGAACGCTGCGGTATGTAGTAGGCAAAAAAGTATACGATATATATAGCACATATCAGTCTATAAGATACAAAATGTCTGATATAATGCATAACCTACAGTACAATAAACATAACATGAACAAGAATAAAAAAGGATTTAAAAAATATAACCAACCATTACACCGGTTTTCATTGTTAAACGCGGATTAAAAATTAAAAAAAAAAAAGCCCAGAAGTATGATTATCTTCGCTCGTAGCCATAAGAAAGCTCGTTTTTACGCCATAAAATGATTCTCACAATTCCAGCAATGCAAGAAAGTACGAAATGTACAGTAAAGTCGTACGTTATAAACCGGTTACAAGGTGTGGTGGGGAGCGTGGGGAGGGGGGGGGAGTATTGAGCGAGATAGTAGATAGCCGTATTCATCCAAGGGTATAATCGTTAAACGAGGAAACCAAAATATTCCCATAAATTGTCATGGCCTGTGAAATAGCTATATATGTATAGAGATATACGCTGGTAAGTCTCTTGTATGGCGATGAGGCCAAGTAATTAGCCGGGTGTTAAACGGTCGTAGTGAAGTGGCACTCACGAGGCTGCCCGAGTTAGCCACCCCGCATAAACCTCTTTAATACACACACAATCCTATCCTGAGTGCAATTTAGGATTTCGATGATTTTATTGGCCAGCCAAATACCGTAGTAGACCCGTGATTGTCACTCCTGATTGTGGAGGAGGAAGAATAACTATGAAAATGGCTAATGCTATGTTCGTTAATGTTTCAATGATATATTATACACATTATATACTATATATATATATATATATATATATATATATATATATATATATATATATGCATATACACGTCTAAGGAGTCGTTCGGTGATTTTTCTTTGAACGGGTTTTAACGGCGACATTTAAGCGCCCCTTTGCGTGTAAGACAGCGCTGAAGCCCGCGAGACGCAAAAGGAATTTTTATTAATTTATTTGAGTAAGAGAGGCCTGGGAGATGGATGCCCTGAGATGGTAGAGATGGTAGTGAGTCGAAGAAGGGAAGAAGAAGAAACTCGAGGGACGAGTGGTACTGTGATTGTGAGAGAAGTAGAAGGGGAGGGGGGCAGAGGAGAAAGAAGAGGGTTTTCGTTCAGAGGTTCTCCTCTCGGGCAGCCCTGAAGTTCTTTTCTTTGTTCGCTGGAGGAGTTCGGTGCTTGTGTGTGTGAGAGAGAGAAAGAGAAAATTTGAGAAGCGGACGAGATGAGATAGACAAAGAAAAAAATATATAAAGAGAGAGAGAGAGAGAGAGAGAGAGAGAGAGGGGGGTGAATTATCAGAGGTAAAAAGGTGAGGGAATGGGGGAAGAGTGGGGAATGGATGGGAAACAATAAGAATAATAAAATCCAAGTGGGACAAGAGAGTTCCGACAGATTGGCTGGCTATTCAATTGAGGTTCGATGAATTTATGAGGATTCTCAAATATTCCATTATCAACGCCCAAGTTTAGAAGACGATCTTATTCGACGACGGTCCCTTTCGGGTTCGATTCTGAACTCACGTAATACTTAACGAAATTCGAATTGAATATCCGGTATATTTATTGCCGATCGAACCAACCGTAACCACACTTAAATAAGCGAACGGTCTTCGATGATCGATACAGAAGAAACTCGAAACCGGGATCCAATTAGAGCTTGAACAAACAGTCGATACGGGTAACAGACAAAGATCAATACCCGCAATAAAGCGAGGTAACGCGCATGCGCCGTGTTGAGAGAACGAACACGTTCGGGATTTCGTTTAGTAAATAATAAATCATACGGCGATATAAAGAGGACCGTAAAAGTCATCTTTCGTAAAACGAGCCGTAGTTACCTTATACCTCTGTGTTACCTAGCAATGTTCCTACTTAAAGCCCAGGGCACGAGAGTAATGGAAGAAGCAAATACGAAATGACCGCTCGAAAACAAAGTACCGAGAAAGCGTTGCTGCGTGCGCGGAGAAAGGCAAGGGCAGTGGGACTGTGGTAGCAGGGGCAAGAGAGAGAGAGAAAGCGAGAAAGGGAGAGAGAGAGAGAGAGAAAGAGAGAGAGAGAGAGAGAGAGAGAGAGAGAGTAACCGTGAGAAAAAAGACTTATGGGCTAGAAGCTCGGCTACGCCCCTCCATTAGACAGAATAACTTTTCACCATTTTCTCACAGCCCCCCGCGCCGACGGTAACAGGGCAACCGTCATGGCGGATACAGCGGAGCTTTAGTATCGCCGTTGAATAATGCCGACTCGAGTAGATGGGTTTTAATGCGCGGCAAATTTGAATATCACGTGAATGCCGGGCTTTGACGTGCATAGACGCTACGAGGAGACAGTCGTATGAGATAAGGATACGAGGACGAAAGATGCTTGCTGCTTCCCCCTTTATGGCTTACGCCATATGCAAGGGAGAGTGAAAAGAGCGTAAGGAGGTCTTCGTTGAATCTAATGGAAGAAGTGCAGGGAAATGCGCAAGGAGAAAAAGGGAGAGAGATATAGTCACGTATAGCAATGTAGTTTTAACCCGACGACGACTTCGGCATTACATATAATACCTGTCTGACAAGCTACCTTACTCGTGTTGCGCCTGCTGGACTCTCAATGTGCAGTTAAACACGTGTATAATGTTTTCTGTATACATCTATATATACATATTGTATACCGTGCGCCACGAAGCGAGTTTCGAGCAACGAATTATAAAGTACGAGCTATAGTCTCGGAATGTTGAAATACAGTGAGAATTCATGAGTACTGAGGTTGACTTTTTTTTTTTTTTTTCCCCGTTAAATCGTTCTTTTTTTGGAGTTTCTCGTGTGTGTAAAAACAGTAGAAATTTATCTCTTGGTTATTTCGACAAGTAAGCGCGTGAGTCCCATGCATATTATTCATCTTAAAAACAAAGCACCCGGTATACCGAGGATTGAGCTACGGATAAGAATTCTTATACTCTGTTTATGCTAAGTATAATCCGATAGTCTATATATACATATATATATATATATCGTGTTAAATATAACTATCGATTTTCTATATTTGTACATGGCGAACTGGACAAAACTCATATGTAACTTCCAGATCATACGTAAGCTTACCTAACCTGACCTAGCCTATAAAGCGTACAGTAAGAATACGTAAGACGGCTTATAATAAATTAACGGAAGGTGTGTGTGTGTGTGTGTGTGTGTGTGTGTGTGTGTGTGTGTGTGTGTGTGTGTGTGTGTGTGTGTGTGTGTGTGTGTGTGTGTGTGTGTGTGTGTGTGTGTGTGTGTGTGTGTGTGTGTGTGTGTGTGTGTGTGTGTGTGTGTGTGTGTGTGTGTGTGTGTGTGTGTGTGTGTGTGTGTGTGTGTGTGTGTGTGTGTGTGTGTGTGTGTGTGTGTGTGTGTGTGTGTGTGTGTGTGTGTGTGTGTGTGTGTGTGTGTGTAAGCCAAGCAAAGGGGACGGCAGAACAAATAAGATCGTGACGTAAGAGGCGAGTGAGATTAACGCGAAACAAGGGTGCCTGGAGTGGTACGAGGAAGAAGAGTTCTTAAGCCAGAGTGCCTACAGAGCGAATTAATTTCTCATTCAAATATATACAGGGCGTATACAGAGGACGAGGAAGTTTAGATATAGACAAGAAAGGGCACGAGGGTGTTAGAGAACTCAGGGGAAGAGCGAAGCGACCCTACAGACCTTTTATTCGGTCCTAGCAAAAAGGAGAACCCAGAGTAGAATCTCGACCGAAGAGGTATTGGAGGCTGCGGCCATAATTCTGTGCTACGGTGAGTACCGACGATATAGGTATATGAATCCCAGGCGCACTTGTACAGGACGGACAAAAGTTTATCCCCCTCGTGGACGGTGCGCGAGGATCCTGAGATGCTCTGGTGGGGGGAGGGCGTATCGAATGAGATAAAAGAGAAGAAGAAGATGATAGAAAGAGAAAAAGAAAACCGCTATCATGCTCCGGGAGAGGTGCACGAGAAATGTAGTCGGGCAATACATTAGCAGATATCGTGCCTGAAGGATCATAAGATTCGGTCCATGACCTTGATCTCTGATATAATCTATAGCAACGTAACGCGGTGCTTGGCGAAACAAGAATTTCTCAATAACCTGATAATTTCTTTTGCGTTCGCAAACCCGGTCTTGTTAATCTGAAAAAAGCTTTCATAACACCCTGTATATCTGTATCGTCCATTTATGCATACAATACGGGATAGGCGTATCGGTACGTAGTTAAAAAAAAATTATGTAAAAAAAAAAATTTTTTTTTCTCTTTCTCGTTCTTGTATCTTTCTGCCGTATCACTGTTCGTCCATTAGACACTAACGTTGCCGACGGCATAAGAGATCGACCCTCTCTCCATCTGTCTGACTCTCTTTATATTTATCGTTTCAACCGATACGAGAATTGCGCACCGAATTTACAGCCGGCAAAGTGACGTATCGCCGACAGGTTATTTACTCGACCGCTCTCGAGAATTCACTAGGGAGGTCGAATCAATAGAATCAGGAGTTAATAATGTGACGAAGTACGGCAACGGAGTAATGAACTCCGGCCGTCTTGATTTGGTCTGTGATAGGTCCTCACCTCCTTCGGTCTCGTGCCAAACGATGCCTTCCAGTGTGACCGACGTGCCAGGCTCGCACGGGCCCAAACACTCGGGTTCCGTAATGGTCCCCACACTGGTCCCAACGCACACGTCGGACATGTCCTGAAACAGCAAGTAGACGAACGACTTAACACGTGCACTGGAAATATTATTAAAATCCATATAAAAATCAAGAAACTCAAGCGTGGATCGTGCGGACAGTCGAGAACAAAAATATTCATGATAACGAGTGATCACGTACAATTACGCTTGGTAATTGTGCGCACGTGATCCAGTATTTGTTATATTAAAAAAAAAAAATAATAAACACATTTTAGACGTAGAAAGTTCACGTGAAATTTCTAATTGCGAAATGGTGGTCTTGGTCTTCTGTGCTTTTTTTTTTTGTTCTTACGATGTCTTCCCTTTTGTTCCTGTAATATCAAGAGGTTGCGAATCGTTCAGGAAGGACGTATGACTTTTATGGGTGTTGTACAATACGCTATATACATATGACGATAGATATATATTCCTATAAGACCTCGTGGAAAAGACGCGTCACGCTGAGTTTCCCAAGAATCGAAAGGATCGGTCGGTTCGTGACTGACGAGAAATCTAAAAGAAAGATGGCGCCTTCTCCTCTTTCGTTCGCAAGTCCGGTAACGAATACCGGTCGTCCTGTCTGTACACCTACTGTGTACGTTATACCCGTGCGAACGGCTGCCAATTAATGACCATACAACATATATATATAGGGTGACGTAATCGACACTGATATTATCAACGTGTACGTAGAAATTCGTCGGGCGATAAATTGGAAACGTTAAAGAAAAAAATTGAAAGCAGGAGTATCAGGGAAAAAAAAGAGTCAATTACAAAGTATTCACTGTGAAATAATAAACTGAAAATCTAACGGGTGGCGTGGTCGTTACAAATTTTCCCCGATCGTTTTGTACGACTATTAATGGCACAAGAGAAAGCAAGAGAGAGAGAGAGAGATACGGCCAGACGATTGAGAAGTGAAATAACGAAATTACATATTCGTATACAAATCCACACAAGCACAAAACGGACGAGTCCGCATCCGCAGAATAGGTTGGGGATTACAATGGTAGTTTGAAATGCAAATGGCAGAGTTTATGCCTGGCTTTCATAATTACAGAAGCGGTGTACGTATTACGTTTCATAATGTACAATGCATACAGCCGACCGTAATCATAGCATTATTCTGGCGTGAAACTATTTGACTATTCCGTAGACGTAGGAGAGTATGAAGTGTTAGGTCGACTGAGAATCCACCGTATAAGTATATATACACGTGTGCCTCGTAGCGATGTACAGCCATACGTAAATACATATACAGTCCCATGGGCATTGTAAAACGTGTATAGGCGGTATACCCGGTGGCATTTTAGTTCGAAGTGAAAATATAATACGTGAAAGGGAATGAAATAAAGAGAAAAGAAAAAAAAAGATAAATAACGGGTGTATCTACGCGAAGTAAACGTGTTTTTCTTTATACAGGGTGTACGTGGATGTCAGAGGGTTACTATATTATGGTCCAGCGACACAGGAAGCTGGTTTTATTTCCATTTTGAGTCACGACCACTCGTCAAAATAGATACGTGGCATACGGTACACCCTGTACGTTACAGAAGTGTAGCCAGTTCTGCACCCTATGTAGGCTTTAACTACACGTGTATGGGGTAACAGTGGTGGGTATATACAGGGTGGTAACAGTTATCGGATATACATTTTACATTCGCTTTGTTTCTAATTTACGACGATAGTTTCGCTTGACAGGAGAGGAAAAAAGTATTTTTTTTTAAGAGTATGAAAAAAAAAAAAGAAACCGATGTAATTTTGACTTTAGGTAAATTTTAGATAAACGATCCTTAATTATTTTTTTGTGCTTACAAGGTGAATTTTTTTTCTTGAATTTCATGGATCCGTGAAGTCATGAATTACGGTGTTGACTGTACTGCGTGCAGCGTAACGTCTGATAACTATGGGCTGATAGGCAAAGTCCGACTGTAACGTCCACGCATGCTTTGCACGGCCGCACCGAGATCGCGTAGGTAAATTGCACCGGTGCAATCGGGAATATTCATCTATGTACGTGGTTAATGATTAATAAATCTAACGTTTGTGGTTATCTGCTTATCCGCGCGTGCGTCTTTGGCGCTGGGTTCGCGTGCTTTGAGCCGTGACCCCCTCGAGCGTGAAGTGAAACGAAAGAATTATGAGAGGTAGTGTGAGAAAGAGAGAGAGAGAGAGAGGGGGGGGGAGAGAGAAGGAGAGGGAAGTGGTTGAGGCAAGAGGCAACGATAAAGCAAAAACAAAAAACACATAGTGGTCGGTGAACGAGGTGGATGAGAGAAATAAAGAAAATAATGGGAGGCAGGGGAACGGCTGATTTGAATTTCGCCGAGAACAATTCACTTTACGATCCTCAAGTCGTTTAGAGGTAGACTTAGTAGTAGTGGAGAATCCGTGAGCGGCCGACAAGCACGATGGCGGATGATGAAGAAGGAGAATGGCAATATAAAGATTCCTTTGGAAAAGGAGTTGTATCTCCCTCGTATTTCCAAGGACGAATTCACGTGGCTTCGCGAGACTGTTCAAAAAAAAAATCGGTGGATATAAAGAAACTGACAAAATTTCAAATAAAAAAAAAACCAATAGCCAAGGTATGGACGCCTTCGACAAAGATATCTAGAATTTTCGTTGACTCGCCTAGGTTAGGTTAGATTAGCTTTACATTTTCAGTGATTCCAAGAACGATGAAAAAAAATCTGACGAATTTTTTTCTCCACGTATTTTTTTTTTTTTTTTTTTTTTTTTTTTTTTTTTTAAAATGATGAAAGTCATCATACCTGCATAAAGACTTTGATCCTTAAAGAGATATCTGTATATGTATCACGTGGAGGATAAAACTGATAGGGTGACGTCAATCAAATTGAAACTTGGATATCATTGAGGCTGCGCCTCTAACGTGGAATTTGTGTCGGGCTCGCATGACGCACGACAGAGCGCTCTGTTCCCTTGTGTGTCCTAGGTATTTGATTTCTATGCCGTATCGATATTAACAGCTGATAACATCAATCTGGTAAAAGGTAAATAATATATTGACGAGTATCAACGAGCTACGTTATCTATGATAATGACCGGTTGCGTATGATATGAGAAAGATAAAAATAATATCGGGTAATAGTTCCTCAGGAAGTATTGGACAGTTATTCTTAGTGTCTCCTGGAAACAATTTCCTTGCGATCGATACAGCCAGGAATTATTCGAGGCAGGAGATGTCGTCGAGTCGATAAAAGTATCAGTAGACGATATCAGAAATAGATAAAGGATAAAACAGACGAGCATCTTCTCTTATGAAATATATATATATATATATATATATTTAGATTACGAAAGTTATTAATAAACAAAGTTTATTTCAATGCAGTCTCAATAAATGATTTCAAGATGATCTTACTAATCGATTATTTTGAACGCAAGGTCAGGGTGTTACGACGAAAAAAAAAGAAAGGAATTGCCGGTAGATCGAGAGAGCTGAGAGACGGAGTGAAAAAGGGGAATAACGTGGGTGTGACACGAGCAGTCGATAACATAGTGGAAGAAGAAGCTAAGAACGAAGCAGATAAGACACGGTATAAGATGTATACCTATAGGTACATAAAAGACGGTCATAAGCGCACCAAGGAGAGTTAGGAACGCGAGAGCCTCAAGTCTGTTCCTTGAGCTCGAATGAGACAGCTTTATGGTAGTGAATTGAAAGAGAGAGAGAGAGAGAGAGGGGGGGGGAGAGAGGTGAAGAAGAGGATCGAAGGGAAGAAGTTATGAGGGTTCCAACAGGAGTACAACCCGAGGCTCCCAATGGTGAGAGGGATGATGCTCCCTTCTTCAGATTCCTGACGCACTGCTAGGAGTGAGATGTATCTACAGCATCCACCGACCAGATAAGGACAGCCTGCCCGTAACTGGACCCTCGCGCAGCATCGGTGCGGTCCGCGGAAAATACATTCCGCTGGGAGCGAACCCTGTGTAGATATGGGTGAGCTTGGAATTTTTCCATCTCAAAGAACCTTATTATTCGAGAAGTATATAATACCAAGTGTAGTCTGCTGTCTCTGACGAGTGCTTCGGTATAGAATGAAGAATCGTTGAACGAGCTCCTCATTGTCTCTCGAACGCATTCCATCTGTTACACCTTTGTTGAACCTATTATGTTTCGCCAATAAGAAATCAAGTAATGCGAACGAAACGTAATACACGATTCAGGCATTACGTACAGTTTGATAATTTATACGTATTTCCAGAAGCAGTATGTTAAAGTAATATCAATGAAAATGTATTCTCACGCTCCGTAAGCGAGCAGATCCAGCATAAGCTTTCCATTAGTATTATAAGCGTGTGTTTACAAGGTACTACGTTAAAGCACGTACAAGAGATTCATCGAAGAATGAAAATTCCAGGTTTGATATAGGCAAATTTTTCCAAGCATTTCTCTCCTCCGCACAGATCCCGATAACTGGTCGATGAAATTTAAAAAATGTCGGAATCACATTGCGAATGATGATGGCATTCCTCACTGCCCGTCCGATATATCAGAGGGAGAGAGAGTCGACTGGTGTATTCATATTCGCGTGAAGAGCAAGAGAGACACGAGTATCAGGATGCACGAGTGAGACGAGGACAACGCAGAGGCTTGAAGTTGCTCTGTCGAATGCGCTACGGTGGTACGAGAGAGACAGATGTATTCGGGATCGAGTGCGAGAGACAGAGACAGAAATAGCAGGAGCACGTAGAACGAGAGAGAATTGGAAGAAACCAGTATCTAGCGATGGTAACGAGTGCGAGGTAGACAGAGCTATGTGAGAATCACGCTGGAGCGAGAGAGACGGAACGTGAGAGAATGAGAAACAGCGACACATTGGCCCAACGGGCAAAAGTACGAGAGAAAGAGAGAGAGAGAGAGAGAGACTCTCGGCAGCCATGTTTCCTCTCATGAATATATTCATGCACGTGACTGCATATGTAGTCGCCAATATGTATATCTCGGGTCTCGTGTACTCGACTATAGGGAGAGCAAGTTAACAAGTAACACTGTA